CAAATAAGCTGACCATCTGGAAGGTTCTTGGGTTTAGGATGTCGACTGAATTTTGGGGGACACAATGACAATAACAGCCATAGTGGAGGGTTGCGACCAGTAGGATTTGCAAGATTCTTGGTGCAATCTTATTTTGCACAAAAATCACTGGACAGTAGAGAAATATTATTTTTTGAAATAAAATTAATAAAGGGATCTTCCCTTTAGATAACCAATGAAGGCATCTTTAGTTTACTCATGCTTTCTTTTCTTTCCTTTTTTTTTTTTCTTTTTTTCCTTTTTTTTTTTTTTTTTTGAGACCATCTCTGCTTGCCCAGGCCTAAGGGTGCCAGTGGTGCCATCTACAGCTCAACTGAACCTCTGCTGCCTCCAGGTCAAGCAATGCTCCTGCTTCAGTCCTTCAAGTAAGCTGGGATTACAGGTGCTCGCACCACACCAGGCTATTTGTATTTTAGTAAGATGGGGTTTCACCATGTTGGCCGGCTGGTCTCTGAATTTCTGACCTCAAGTGATCTTGCCGCCTCAGCCTCCCAAAGTACTGGATTACAGCAGTGGCCACCCGCGCCCGGCTCCTCATGTTTTCTCCAATCCAGTGACCCTCTCTCCTCTCTGTCCTCTCCTGAATCTTCCCATCATCCTCAGCTCACGTCTCACCTTATTGTCATCAGGAAATCTTTGTTCTCATTGGCAGGAATCTTGCCCAAATCTGCACTGTATCTTCACACCAACCTAGCAATTGGTCATTCTGTTCCTGAATTTTTCTAGCTATATTTAACTTGTATGCCACCATATGTTATCTATCATCATGCATTACTAAGGTTCCCTGCATTTAATAATTGAGCACATTCCTGGGTTTTATATAAAAAGGAACTCGATATTAGCACATGGAAACAATTCCCGCTCTAAGATTAATCACCTCAATTAATCGTTAAACAGTGGATATGTAGGCCAGGCACGGTGGCTCAGGCCTGTTAATTCCCAGCCATTAGTGGGGGCGAGACGGGGTGGATCATGAGGCAGAGTTCAGGACCAGCCTGGCCATATGTGAAACCCGGTACAAAAATTACGGGTGTTGGACGGGTGTTCTGTAGTCCAGATACTGGAGGACTGAGGGCAGAAGAATCACTTGAACTTGGGAGGTGAGGTGCAGTAGCAAGATCGCGCCATGCTACTTCACAGTACTGGGTGGACAGAGCAAGAGTCGATTCTCAAAAAAAAAAAAAAAGAAGAAAAAAAGTGGATGTGTGAACGTGTTGGGTGAGTTAGAGGAGTGAGGTGGCAAGAGTCTTTATCACTGAGTACTCAGCGATATTCATTGTCCAAAAGCAACCAGCTGATTTTCCTAATTGGATAGACATAAGCAAATGGCTGAGATGATAATATGCAATCATGTATTCAGAGAATTAATCTTCCAGGACATAGACTCTATTGGCCTGTTCTTTGAACAAGGTTATGTGTCTCTTGAAGGCGAGAAACTTTTTCCTTTATTTCTCTTAAAGCCAGCATAATCTGGGGCAGAGGCATGCTGTATAATGATTACTTGAGCATTAGTGAAGCCAGAGACTTCCTGAATGTAAATAACGAGTAATAAAAGAAAGAATGTGGCCAGGGCATACTCACACTGATAATCTCGCACTTTGGGAGTCTAGAACAGGAGAACTGGAACAGGAGTCTGAGATCAGCCTGGCACAATGGTGAAACCCTGCTCTACTAAAATAGAAAAATATAGCCAGGCTCGGCTGGGTGGGGGGCCATTAATCCCAGCTACTCCAGGAGGCTGAGCAGGGAGAGCGGCTTTGAACCCGGGAGGCAGAGGTTACAGTGATCCAAGATCATGCACTGCACTCCAGTCTGGTAGCAACAGAGTGAGACTGTCTCAAAATAGAAAAAAAGAAAAATGTGTTCTTACTGTAATAGACTCAGTAAATATTTTGCAAGTAAACATAAATTTACTATAATTACCAAGTGGAGTTTGCCATTTTAATTTTGAATAGTATGTACTATGGTTTGAATACGCCCTCCAAAATTCATGCTGAAATTTAAGTGCCATTATGACAGGTTTTTTGTTTTGTTTTGTTTTGTTTTTGTTTTTTGAGATAGGGTTTCACTCTTATCACCCAGGCTGGAGGTCTTGGCTAACCTCATCCTCTGCCTCCCGGGTCAAGTGATTCTCCTGTCTCAGCCTCCCAAGTAGCTGGGATTACAGGTGCATGCCACCACACCTGACTAGTTTTTGTATTTTTAATAGAGACAGGGTTTCACCATGTTGCTCATGCTGGTCTCAAACTCCTGACCTCAGGCAATCCACCTGTTTCGGCCTCCTAAAGTGCTGGGATTACAGGCGTGAGCCACCGTGCCCAGCCTGTGACAAGTTTAAGAGGTGGGACTGTTAAGAGGTGTTTAGGCCATGAGGGCTCTGCCCTCATGAACAGATTAATGTTGTTGTTGTAGGAGCAGGTTTGGTATAAAAGCAAGTTTGGCCCTCTCTTGCCCTCACCCTCTCTTGCCCTTCTGCCTTCCGCCATGGGATCATGCAGCACTAAAGTCTTCACCAGATGTCAGCATCATGCACTTGGACTTCCAGGACTCCAGAACCGTGAGCCAAATAAACTTCTTTTCCTTATAAATTACCTAGCCTGTGGCATTCTGTTAAAGCAACACAAAATGGACTACATATGTGACATATGCTTTTAAATGTCATAAAAATTGCAACCATATATTAACTTTTCTAAAAGATTGAAAGTAATATTTCTTTAGAGTAAATGAAAACTTACACATTTAAAAAAATGGATGAGACTTCTGAGGTATATAATATAAAAGTATATAGGCCTGAAATAGGAAGGCAAAATAAATTAAATATCTCCATTGCAAAATTGATATTTAACTATATTTGCCCCCCTATGACTTAGAGTAGTCTAGACATTATACTTTTCTATCTAGTGTGCTGAAATATGTCTTGATGATAAATTCAACTAATTACTACACGTATTATCTTGTATTTTTGCAGTTAGTTGAATGAACAGGTTTAGTTAACATTAGTCATAGAACTCCAGGCCATGGTATGATTAAATAATATTGAATTTATAATTCATTCTAAATATGAGTTTTATATTTAGATTCCTGTTATCACATAGAATAAAATAATTCATTGTAATTCTTTCTGCACGCTTTAAAGAAATTATATGAAGTAAGACTGCCGCCTGCTGGTCACGATGTGTTACTTCACTCACATTTCAAACTTGTTTTTCACTATAGCAGAGGATGTGATAAATACAATTCAAAGCGATGCAACATACAGACTTTTGAGATGTCCTAGATTGTCACAAATTATTGATGCTTGAACGTTCTAACAATTATCATTCCCACAAGCTTTTCGTGTTTGTCCTTCCCTCTTGGTGACCGTTGATAACAAATCTCTGGCTGCATATTTCTGAGTCTTTGAAATGTACAATTTAGGGGCTAAGTTGCATTTACGCTACTTTCTCTTGAGCAGTGTGAGCTAAGCATCCATCTGTAGGTGAGAGATCTCTTAAGTGTTGCTGAACCTGCTGCATAATTGCATTCCTTTACCTTACCTTTTTCTGACAACATCTCACAAACATATTGGCAATGCTGCTTTGTCCTCTTCTGGAACCCCAGCGTAAAGATATCCCCCACTCCTCTCACTGGCTCTGAGTCCAGCCCCAAGGTCACCCATCACTCAGGCGATCCTCAGCTCGTCCCTAAGATGACACAGTCTTGTATCATGACTCTAGGGCAGCAGTTCCCAACCTTTTTGGCACCAGGGACTGGTTTTGCGGAAGACAATTTTTCCACGAACCGGGGTTGGGGGGATGGTTTTGGGATGATTCAAGTGCATTACATTTATTGTGAACTTTATTTCTATTTTTATTACATTGTAATATATAATGAAAGATTAGACAAGTCACCATAATGTAGAATCTGGGAGCCCTGAGCTTGTTTTCCTGCAACTTGATGGTTCCACCTGGGGGAGAGGAGAGACAGTGACAGATCATCCGGTATTAGATTCTCATAAGGAGTGTGCAACCTACATCCCTTGCATGTGCAGTTACAATAGGGTTCATGCTCCTATGAGAATCTAATGCCCCTGCTGATCTGACAGGAGGCGGAGCTGAGGAGGTAATGTGAGTGATGGGGAGTGACTGTAAATACAGATGAAGCTCACCTCCTGCTGTGCGGCCCAGTTCCTAATGGGCCATGGACTGGGGGTTGGGCAGCCCTACTCTAGGGGACAGATAACCTGAGTTTGAAGGCCTGCTCTACCCCTGGCTACCTCAATTACTCATTTTGGTTGTGATGAGCATGCAATCCTTTTATAATAAGTAAAAAAATAAGTTGTTATAAACATCCTTCCCAAAACGCTTCAACCACCAACCTGCCCTGACCTGAGGCTGATGCTGAGTTCCAAGGGGCTCAGGTCTAAGAAAGGAAGTGCAGATGCAAGTTCTTGGGTGTCAGTTTCAGTTCCCACACAGTGCTCCACCTTCTCCTTATTCCCAAGAATACCAAATTACGGACATCCTGTCTGCTCTCCCCAGACTTACTGAGCATGTTGAAATTAAAGTGTACCCTGACAACTTGAAAATCCTTTTCATGATTAAAACAAATATTTACGGAACACTTTCCAGGTAGCAAGAACTTGCTAAATACTGCATTTAAAAAGATGAATGTGCTTTCCAAATGCTTAATTTGCATCATGAACACCGCTTATTCAGGATGGCCAAGAGAGACCCAGCCAGCAGAGGTATCTATCAACTCTATTGAGGAAAAAAAGGCAAACATGAGAAATTTCAGGCATGGGAAATTTGTAAGACCAAGAAAGGTAAAAAGGAAATCTTGATAAATTCAAATGTGACATTATGTAACAGCCAGGAAAGTTACTTTGTTGTTGGGATTAAAATAGTTAAGAGATTTTTGTGAACTTCTGGACAGGGGCTCTTTTCCTGGTCTTGTATTTCCAGCACCTCTCAGAGTAGCTGCATATAGTTAGCACTTAATTAACATTTATTGAACTAATTGCCTCACTTGCTCTTGCTTACTGAAACAGTCATAATCATTATCCCCTTCATCTAGCAAATACAAAGTTAGGCGGAATGCGCACAGACTAAGTAAGAAACAGACAAGTGAAGCTGGAGAAGCTTCAAATGTTTGGAGGACGCCCGGGGCATTTCTCCCCAGGCTCCAGATGAATTCTGTGGTGCTAAGGGTGATGCAGGAAACTCGGAGTCCCTGGGATTACAAAGTCTGTCTGCCAAGGAAGGAGGTCTTCAAAGTACACGAGAAAGGAAAACGAGAATAAAAAATGGATTTGGCAATAAAGATGAGGGAGAAAGTCATGCTTCACATCTCGGTGACCCTTTTAACTGCTGATAATAGACATGTATAGCAGAGTCTTCTAAGGCTCACAAATAACAACAATGACGCTATGTGCTTTGCATGCATTACCTAAGTTAATGTTCAAAACAACTGGAAGCAGATTTGCCCCATTTTACAAATGAGGAGGAAACCGAGGTTCTGGGAGGTTGCTAGCTGGTTGGTGCAAGAGGCCTAGATTTCTGCGTATCTCGGCTTTCAACATGCCTTTCTCACTAAGCTTAATTATTTCTAGCTTTTGATTTAAAGTGAGAGACTTGAGATTCTTCCTTTCAATTAAACACTTAGAGGCTATTGTAAGAGTCCTTTTTTTTTTTTTTTTTTGAGGCAGGGTCTGGCTCTGTCACCCAGGCTAGAGTGTGGTGGCACGATCTTGGCTCACTGCAGCCGCCACTTCCTGGGCTCAGGTGATTCTTTCTTCTCAGCCTCCCAAGTAGCTGGGACTACAGGTATGCACCAGGATGCTAGTTAATTTTTGTAGTTTTTGTAGAGACAGGGTTTCTCCATGTTGCCCAGGCTGGTCTTGAACTTCTGGACTCAAGTGATCTGCCTGCCTCAGCATCTTAAAGTGCTGGGATTACAGGCTATTGTAGGTTTGTTTATTTATTTATTTATTTACTGAGATGGAGTCTCACTGTGTCGCCCAGGTTGGAGTGCAGTGGCGCAATCTCAGCTCACTGCAACCTCCACCTCCCAGGTTCAAGCAATTCTCCTGCCTCAGCCTCCCAAGTAGCTGGAATTACAGGCATGTGCCACCATGCCTGGCTAGGTGTATTGTTTTGTTTTTGTTTTGTATTTTTAGGAGTGATTTGTATTTTTAGGAGAGACAAGGTTTCACCATGTTGGCCAGGCTGGTCTCGAACTCCTGGCCTCCAATGATCCACCTGCCTTAGCCTCCCAAAGTGCTAGGATTACAGGCGTGAGCCACTCTGCCCGGCTGGTATTGTAGGATTCTTTTATTTTTATTTATTCATTTATTTTTGAGACAGAGTCTCACTCTGTCACTCAGGCTGGAGTGCAGTGGCTCGATCTTGGCTCACTGCAAGCTCCGCCTCCCGGGTTGACGCCATTCTCCTGCCTCAGCCTCCCAAGTAGCTGGGACTACAGGTGCCTGCCACCATGCCCAGCTAATTTCTTGTATTGTTTTTAGTAGAGACAGGGTTTCACTGTGTTGGTCAGGATGGTCTTGATCTCCCGACCTCATGATCCACCCGCCTCAGCCTCCCAAAGTGCTGGGAATACAGGCATGAGCCATTACGCCCAGCCTATTGTAGGATTCTTAATTGGCCTAATTTCAATATTGTTGCATCTCAGAAAATAGGGAGTCCTGAGGAGATGGGGAAATGGCTGGTATATGAAACAGAACACACACAACATTTATTGAAGTTTGTTATCTTACAGGGGCACAGTTCGTGGCAACCCCAAAAATTACAATAGTAATGTCAAAGATAATTATCAAACAAAATAACATATATAATAATAATTAAAAAATGAAATATTGTGAGAATTACCCAAATGAGACACAGAGACAGAAAGTGAAGGCATGTGGTTGGAAAAATGGCGCTGATGCTGAAGGTTGCCACCAACTTTCCCTTTGTAAGAAATGCAATCTCTGCAAAGTGTTATAAACTGAAGCTCAGTAAAGTGAGGCAGGCCTGCACACTCCTTGTTTCCTCTCCTGCTGCCATGCTGGTCTCCTGCCTGTTCCTGGGCTGCTGAATTGAGGAGGCTCAAACTTGCTTTATGACCTTGCTCTTCCCTCAGCCACTGCTTGTCTAACATGAGTCTTTGCTCACCTTCTCACTTTCTCAAAGAGGACTGAGCTACCTCCCAACCGAACACTGCAACATGCCCCTCCCCTGCACTACCAGACCCTCTTCTTTACCCTCTCCAACCCATCATGGTTACACTTCTAACATGCTATGTAATGCACTTATTTATTATGCTTATTCCTTTTTATTTATTATTTTTTTTGAGACAGAGTCTTGCTCTGTTGCCCAGGCTGAAGTGCAGTGGCCTGATCTTGGCTCACTGTGAGGTGACAATGGCTAGCAGCCCTCACTCTCAGCACCTCCTCGGCCTCTGCGTCCACTCTGGTGGTGCTTGAAAAGCCCTTCAGCCCACCATCGCACCGTGGGAGCCCCTCTCTGGGCTGGCCGAGCCAGCTACCTCTGCTTGGGGGGAGGTGTGGAGGGAGAGGCT